GCCAGACACTGTTATTACTTGTTAAAATATTTTTCGTCTACAGAAAGGTGTATGTTGGTAATCTAAGCTTTGATACAACCGAAGGTCAGTTAACTGAGTTGTGTTAACGGGTGCCTGAGGCCCTAGTCTGAAGCCATCCGTATGAGAACTTGAGAAAGAACGTTTACGAATTCACGAAATGCCCAAACTAAATAATCTGTAATTGGTAACTGTAGTATCTTTGGCTATTTCAACTTGAACAGTATAGGCATTCTGTTGTATGCTGGCCCTAGTTATACAGAGTTATACAGAAGTCTGTTCTTTTTGATACACACTACTAAGCATCTTTTTTAGACCAGTGTCTTTTTTATAAATCTGAAGTCAGTAGACATTTATTGGATTGTTTCTGACCTAATAAAATAATTTAAGATTTCGACTTTCTCTCATAAGATTGCAATTTTAAAGTTCTCTTGGTTACGAATTGGTTGATAGAAATGGCTCTGCTGTACCCGATTGCACACATTTTGTTCTTGAATATTTTTTTGTAATGTTTGAAAGATAAGATTTATAATAGCCTTTATAAGGAATGTAAAAGATGATTTGAAAAATTGTATTTTTATAAAGTACTGATAAATATTTTATAATGCATACAAGTTTGAATCAATCTATTGACTCGCACAGTTCTTGCTGCAGGCATATAATTTCCTAAAGACCAGAATAGGTTGCATTTACCTTGTCTGATGCGGTGGAAAGAATGCCTTAAATATTTTGAGAATAATTTATGGCATTGTGTTGAATTATCAGAAAGTATAGATTTGAATCCGTACATTGATTTGATATGGAAGTAAAGTTAAGCAAGATTTCAAAACATGTGATTCTGTATGAAAGTTATCCAGCTGGAATCAACTGTAAGCCATAATTCTACGCATTTTAATCTTTGATGTCTAAAGTTGAGTTGCGTTTTTGAATCTTCATTATTATCTGTATTCCTCTCCCAGTACCATGCAACACTGCTTTGATATCGAGCAAGTAAATCAGATGATCAATACAGTTGAGGGCCTCCACAACTGTGTTTTTCCATAACTTGTTGAAACACCTAATCAATTCAGTTAACAACATTCAATAAAATCATGACAGTTTACAGTACAGTCCAATGAATATTTAGTTTAAATAAGGTTTCCATAATTTTTATAAAATTAAGTAGATACACCAGTTAAAAAAAAACCAATTAATATCTTGTCTTAACTAAGGAAGCACTTGACTCTATTGTCTTTTTAGTTAAAGTTGCTCGGTAACAAGGGTTGTCACATAGCGTTAATACTTCAGAAACATATTACTCCATATTTTTTAATTTTGCTCAATCACTGATACACTTAAAAACATGTCAAAATTGCACCAAATCATGTTCTCAATCAACTTGTGTATCCTTAATTTTAAACATTTCATAATTGTATCTCACTATTTAAATATACTTTATAAGTTCTGATTTGAATGCCACAATATTACTGTACTTGGCATATGTAAAATTTTTTGGTTGTTTCAACTACAATGCATTAAATTCATGATCATTTCCAATATCTAAAAATCATAGTCTACAATTAAGTTTAATACTAATGCTTCTCCCAAAAACTGTTGGATTCTGTTGCAGTTTTTGTAAACCACTTTCTCTTTAATGTCATTCTGAGAAGAAAATGAAAGGTCACCATGTTTACCGACCAATAACATTTAAACTGTATTTTCTTCAATTTTTATACCGATGTTTTCTTGTAGTACTCTATAAGGGCCGTTTTCCACTAGATAAATTTTATTCGCGCAAATCAGAAATTTTTTCCTACATGAATGCGCAGTTTAATTTTCAAGATTCTCAATTGCGTATGAGTAAAAATTGTAGGTTCGTGCGAATAAATTTTAGTGGAAACAGCCTTAATAGATTTCTTTAAAAAAACAATATTACAAATGTTTTCTTTATTTCTTAGGCGAAATCAGATCAACGTTCGAAGAATTTGGGCAGATCAGCGATGTAACAGTTGTCATGGACCGAGAGACAGGCCGTAGTCGTGGCTTTGGTTTTGTACAGTTTTATGATAAATCGGCCGCTATGGCAGCAATAAGTCGTAATGATATTGAACTTGGTAATAGGACGGTAAGTTCAATATGATGGGCTTGTTTACCTGGCAAACCATAACTTCAATAAAATTCTAAACAATTGTTGCATAATATTTTTCTGAAGCTTTCCAATTGATTATTTGCTATTATTACGTATCCTTAGGACCACATGATGTTAAATGAAAAATGTTTCGTATTGTGTACAGTAAAAACCGTGCAGCATGACTGTATATAATCTTTTAACTAGGCCCATGCCATACTCTAGTTTAGCAATAAAAAGCATGTACAGTACAGCCCACAATTACTGCAACGTTCCCACACGTGGTAACTTCGTTGTGGTTGGTGGTAGTAGGATCTCAAACTTGCCTAAGTCAACTGTGCCTAAGTTGAAAAATTTTAATTTGATCTTACTTTACATGCCAAATTGTTGTGTTTTCCATTAATTAACAATCTGTAATTTGAATTTTATTTAAGTCGAACAATATTTCAATGGCATTTTGGATTTGACTTAGGCAAGTTTAATTGTATTATATAATATATAAAATGATAAAACAAATACAATGTTCTGTTCAAAACCCGTCCCAATCTCAAACTCATTGAGCAGTTTACATCTGAGCACATGTTCTGCCTTCGTAAACAAACCGCATTACTGCAGTGTCTTGGTTAAGAAATTATTTGTCAAAATTAATACAAATCAAACACTGCGTTAAATACCTAGTTCTGATAAATCTAGATCATAAAATAATGACAACTTTTTTTTTTACTTTCAGTTAAGAGTGCAAACCGCAACAAAACCAGGTCAAGGTAAGCTTGTGAACTTCCCACATTTATAAGGGATTTAACTGAAATTAGCACGAGTTCTGGCTTGTGTTAAAGTAATTGAGGCAGTAATGTACCACTCTATTACAAACCCTGATATCATGAATTCATGATTTTACGAACGTAAAATAGAGACGATACCTAAACGTGTAAATTTGCGTATATAATAATAATTTGTACTCTTTGTTATGAACATATTATAATTTATGAAAATTTGAGTTACAGTAGAAACCCTTAATTATGAACCCTGATTTAACAAATTCCCGATTTTACGAATGTAAAATCAAGGTGATGACATCATACAAAAATTCCCTATATTTTGAGTGTTTCTTGTAATATTTGTTAATGCCTATTCTAAAAAGTGTTACTTGCATACAGAGGAAGATTACCCATGCAATTTTAGGGTGCAAAACTAGCGCTCGCCAATGCGAGTGAAATAAAAATTTGGCGAGTGATATTCCATCCCCACTCGCCCACATGGGCTAGTGAAAAAAAAAAAAAAATCCGCTCGAATTGTAACTGTTATTATCATGCTTACAACATACCATACTATACTGTGTAATTCTCAAGTGAAGGAGGCCCTCTTCAAATTTGGTGTTTATTCTGGCTTCACACATGTGTATGCGACAAATTTTACATCTCTTTTAATCATTGTTTTCAGCTTTAAAAGTCAACATAGTGATTGATTGTTTTATTGAATGATCAATAAATATAATAAACAAGTATCTATGGAAGTTGTGTTGGAGTGAAATCCACAATCTAGGTATTTAATAAGGTAGAAACGTCAGATTAAAAACAAATTTATCTGTCTGGGGCCTAGAGTGGGATCAAAATGCTTAGAAACTGTCTACTGTAGGCCAAGGCCCCCTCAGATTTAGCTATGTAGTCCTGTTGGCCTAGCCTAGGCCTAGTTTATGCCAGTGTAAGAAGTACCGGTGCAAATATATAATAATTTGGGTCAACACCGATCTTACGAATACCCACAATTACGAACGGCTCTGGCCCCGTGCCGTACGTAATTGAGGGGTTCTACTGTGGC